TATGCTTATTAATGTAAATATTCAGTGTTCACATTATTTTGTACATAATTGCATATAGAATATAACAGCTTCTGTTATGATGTAATACATTTCTAATATGATGACATTTTAAATGAACGGACAATTATTGCCAAACAGGAATTCATTCACGGGAAGCTATAAGGGTGATATCATTCTGGGATAAATGAAAAGAAACGATAGAAGTCAGAAGAACTATACATTGTGGTTGAATGAGGGCGCTACACACTGAACCACGAGTAAATTAAGTCTCACTCTGCAGTTGCCAAAGACATGTTATTTAACAATTGCTACTCTGTAAATAAATAAATTCTATACTGCTAATAGTCACATAGTTCGGCGACCTAGAGGGCAGTGCTCCTAAAACTTCGATCGGAATATATGACTACAAATGAATTACGTGACACTGACTGATGGTGGCGCTATAGATTGTTAGTGTGCATCATATTGGTAGTATTGACAAATTGGTTGAGTTAATTAAAAACAAAGATATACCCTCTCCTGCTTTTTAAATGTTGCCTCGACAGAACCTATAAAGTAGCTTCCCGGAACAAAATTACATTTTCAATGTTGAAAGGTTCTTTTTCGATATTTTCTGGATCAAAGGGGTCGTATATATTATTCTGTTGATATAATGTATATTAATGACTTTCTGTTTAAAAAAAAAAATAAACAGTGTACAACTCTTCCATTCACCTATTTGTATGTATAACTGAGTCATTAATTACGGTCGCCACCATCTTACTTAAATACAATTTTTGGGGGGAGGGGGATTTTCGTTCACTTTTTTATTTGTTGCAATTAACATAATGCAGTTTACACTGTGAAACTTGTAGTTACGTAACAGTAACTTGAAAAAATTGTATCAATTGATTTTCATTTTTTGTTGAATATTCTTTACTACCTTGCACCTCAAAGTTAATTACTTACTTTTCTAACAAGGACAATGAATGATATATTTGATATTTGACTGTTCGGGCCAAGGTTAAGGTGAATGACCTTAGTAAGCGTGTGTTTACCAAACAAATTTGCCGACTGAGTAAAGTGTTTCCACGAGAACGATGACCAGGGGTGGAAGGGGAGAGGGATGGAGGGGAGAGAAAGACTTAACTTCGGTCCATGCCAAAAAGTGTTATACACAAGAATAAATAGCTATGGCGGTAGGAATACAAACGATGTGCATCATGGGATAACATCAACTGAAATAAAGAAAGTTGACAACAAAAGCAATGGGTCGTTATGGAATCATGTGTGAAGTTGAGTACTGAATGAACAAGAACATTTGTAGCTGATTGTCAGAAATGAACTTCGAGCAATTTGCTACAGTCACGCCCAAGTGATACGAAGTTGGCAACTATATAAGTGTGTTAACAAAGTAGGCTGTAGTGAGCAAAACAAGGGCATGGAGTAATAATCATGATAAATGTCATGTAATCTTGGTCATACACAATTCCAACTGATATCACCGAGTCATGTCAATACCAGTGTTACATCTTGTATTGTAATTAGTTACATCCGCTAAATCTGCCTGCGAGGTCACGGTATATCTACACACAATGTACACTCACATAGCTCAATATATGGCTAATAATATAAAAACATTTAAAACTGACTAGCCCAATTTAATTTATTAATTAAAAATTGCGATATTTCTCATCCAAATGTGTAAGGAGAAGGTAACAAAAAGGGTCAATTTTCTTTGCAAGGAAACACAATTGCATTAAAAAACAAATTTTATTTTGTCACTATAACAAGTAATTTTTAACATCATAAAAACTTCAGGAAATGACTTAACTGATGAGAAAAAGATAAGTATTAGAACTGGTAAAATTCTGTAACACGGTTTGCACGATTGAATATTCACGTCAAGGAATATAAAGCATATAGTGTATACTACGACTCTTTATTGATTTACGTGTCTTTTCTAATGGTAAAACTGAATGTGTGTACAATCAACTGCTACCTAGCGTACTGGTCAAATGTGTTATGTTTAATCCAATGAACTCCACTTACTTTAATAAAAAAAGGTCAAGAAAAAAAAAACAACGAAGCAATGACCTTGACCTATTCCCAGTTTAACTAAACATGTCTGTGTCAAGTTTCAATTACTGATATTTATGTTTCGACTTGATGCGAATCCATATTTTTCTTACAGAAATAATTGTCATGGGAGGTTCGTGATCGAGCTGGGAATGGGTGGAAATGTCTTCTGAATCGACATCATGCACAGACACATAATTGATTGTATTGTATTGTATGCGTGGCAATACAGTGATTTATTGATCAGACTACATTGTTATCAATGCAATAGACAGCGAATTATCATCAAACACATGTGAGTTATTGATTTATGAGTTCCAAATAAACATCGCCAACTTTAATTGTAGGCTTGATCAGATACCCGAATTTGTCTAAAGCCATTTTGACCGGAGGTTCTGTTGTAAATAACAGTTACTATCTGCACAAACAATGATACTTGTATTGCAGACAACGGAACGTCCGGCAGGAAGCACTGCAATCGACAACACAGATAACACACCGGTAAAATGATATGACACGGAGAGGTGAGTCGTGTAACAGACAGGGGGGTACAACTGGTCAACGTTTTTTATGGGTACCCAGGTTAATCAGTGCCTCATTGCACTGATGGTTTCACGGGTGAACATGTCACGCTTAAAAATGTAATAGATTTCTCTGGCACATGTTAATCAAAAGAAACTTTTTTATATTTTATATCGAAAGATTCTGTAAAAATTTAAGAGCTCTATCACAAATGTTACACGTTTAAAACTGTGGTCACCTATCACCTACGATTTACTTGACGTCAAAACAGTGGTCACAGAAGATTCCATGACCATTCAAAAAATAATGCAGCAACTCCACTTTCACATTTTCAATTATTGATATGCAAAATCATGTATAACTTTGTTTTAATTCTGAAATCAAAGTGGTTAATCAAATTATTACTACTCAGCAGGCACCAATCAGGTCATTTCACTTTCGTCAGAACTTGTAGATGTAATATGTGTGAGTAGTCATGGCGATTTTTGTTAAATTAACACAATCTGAAGATTTCACTATCTGAATGTAAAAACGAACAAAACTACCTAGTGAAAATGCAAAAATAATAATTCAATATTCAAAATCGCTGTGACTCTTATGTTCCTCGTGTATCCCTTTTAATTTATTCACAGTACTTACGTGAATAATTCAATCAATCAATAAA